GGGCACCAGGACACTCAGCTCCTGGTGTGTCTCTGGAACTCTTCAGCCACCTCCTTACTGCTACTCCCGGGGTTGGAAGCCCTGGGTTTTTGCCTGCATTTCATGTAACCCTCCCAGCCTATTCTACCCATGATAAAGACAGAAGTATATACACGGCCATTTGGGGGAAGCCGTTATTAGGACCCAACACCGCAACACTAAATGTTCAGGGGTAGTAAATAAGAGAGACGCCTCACAGACTAAGTAGTTGAGGTGTAGGGACCAGCCTAGTTAGAACCCAAAGGGGGTTATTACAGGTACGCCGTGTAATCGTCAGACTATAATTTGCACCAATCACAGCACAGCTTCCAGTTTGAGAACTCACAACTCTCACATAAAGACCAGACACAAGCTTTGAGTAAGAACCAATCACAAGCCATGTGTAGACACAGCCCCGTACTGGCCAATCATGAACTATCTGCTGGGTCACTGTGGGGAGCACTCTTCTCTTGACCTAATATCATGACTACTGCCACAAGGTCCAGAGCAGCCTTAAAGTTTAAGGCAGTTGGGTTACCATGAGGGCTGCGCCTCAGGGGCAGTAGTGGGCAAGGCCATCTGGAGGTTGCTGGGGCTCGTCAGGGCAGTACTGCAGAGCTGTTGCACGTGAGAGAAGCTGTGACTGGAATAAGGCCTCCTAAAGCAGCCATTGCCAGCCTCTGAGGGTACTGAGTTCCTACAGCAGAGGTAGTTTCCTGAAGACCTTCATGAACTGCTTAAAGCAGTTGGGTTACCATGACAACAGTCCAGGGGTCACCAAAAGACGGACTGTTTGGTGTGTAGTTTCCCGATTAAGGCAGTCGGGTGCAAGGGAAGGTCATGGAAACTGTCAATCAGAATCACATCAGGCCTCCAGAAGCTTGATCTGTCAATCAGAGTCACATCAGGCCTCTAGAAGTCTGATTTGAAAGAAAAGTAGACATAAAAGGATGCTTTCAATAAAGACTTGTCATTAACATGGTGTGTGTCTATGTATTCATGTACATATATGTTCATGTGTGTGATGCATGTGTACACATGTAGAGGTGCATGTAGAAGCTGGAGAACAACCCTGACTGTCATTATTAAGGGGTCATCCATGGCTTACTATTTATGAATGAGACAGTCTCTCTCACTGACTTGGAACTCACTGAGTTGACTAAGATGGCTGGCCAAGTCCAACGTCAGTCTACATTGATAAGTAATAGTGTTATGTGTATGAATGAGTGTTTTGTCTGAATGTGTATCTCTGAACCATGTACATGCCTGGTAACCACAGAAGACAATGTCAGGTTCCCTGGGATTGAGTTACAGATACTTGTGAGTCACCATGTGGGGTGCTGGGAATTGAACCCAGGTCCTCTGGAAGAACAGTCAGCACTCCCAACCACTGAGCCATCTTTCCAGTCCCATTAACATTCTTAATGGTATTTAACAGTGCTTAACTCCCAGCCAAATACTCTTGGGAGTACACGGATTATTCATTCTATCTTACCTCAGAATCATATAGTCTGTGATGAAGCCAAGATGGGACCCAGGCCTCTTGATTGCTAGTCTCGTGTCATTTTTCTGGCCTGTGGGAACTTCTTGTCTGGACCTGTTTTTGACATACTTATCTACTCAATTCTGCTCAAATCAAGGTTAATTTCCTTGGGTTCAATTTTCATTTTTTTCTGAAAAAAAAATCTACCTAGTTAAATTTACTTACACTGCTCAATTCTGGCCCAAGTATAAAAGGAAACAAACCTAAATGCTGAATCAAAGCTCTCTGCAGCCTAGAGGTAGGCCTCCAGTCTGAAATTAAATCTATTTTCTCACCAGCTTAATGACACTGCTAGTTGTTTTTTAATTAAGTCGCCCTAAATTGCTACACTGAATGAATTTTCAGAGCTCGTGGAAATGCTGTGTTCCAATGTACTTTAACATGAAAAAAGAAAAAAAAAAACTGAATTGGTTCTTGTCTAGCAGGCTTAGGTAAGGGCATTTCAAAAAAACAGCTTAAAAGTGTTTTTCCAACTAATAACGTCTAGACTTTCCAGAACGTTTTCCATGTCTTCCAGGCTCTGGGAATTAAATTCTTATTCTTCCAAAGCAAATTGGTGAATGTCTACATTTGTCAAAGAGAATCATGACCCTGGTAAGAAAGGGGAGTCATGAAGGGACCAGGAAACAATTTTCACCCAAACAGATGACAGCAATTTTTTAAAGCAAGGGTAAAGACCGATTTCCTCATTTTATTCCTTTTAATTTTCCAGAATCAAATCACTATTCATGGGAAGGCAGGTATGCCATTCCCTGTTCTCAGCCTTAATGAAGGCTCATCGTAGATAACTCTTGATGGAAGAGATGAACTGGAGTCAGTATGTCACCGTTATAATGAGAAACAGAAGCTGATACCACCTCTTTATGGAGAGACAGCCTGGCTGAAGCAGTAATGTCAATTCCCAGCAGACCAATTGTTTACACAAAAATAAGCCACTGCTGTTCCTTAGCAACCAAGGCTGTTGTTCAAAGGCTCTCTGGCTGAAGAGCTGAAGACCTTCTTCTGCCCCTGGCATCTAACGAGTAGCCAGAGGAGACCCCGATGGGATGGACTGTTCTGCTGCCATCTTGGAAGCATTCATCAAGCCATGGAGTGAAGAAGTCAGCCTCTGCTTTTGATCTCAAAGCAACCAAGTAAGTGCACCAACCATCACTCAACGTGTGCAGACCAACTGGAGACATATGACAAGTCTCTGGTTTACTCTGGTTGGCATTTACTATGGCACTCAATTCTCCACGCCCGTTTCTCATCTCTATTTCCCACTCTGCTTCTGACAGAGACCAGTGAAATATGAGGTAACTAGGATACCGAGATGAGGTGGAATGTTTAAACAAAGAAACCTCAATTACTTAAAGTGACAGGGTACCACACATTTGATAAGCTGTGGTTAAAAATGTTCAGTAATGGTTCTATTGGTCTCCAAACATAATCAGAAGGAAGATATATTTCTCAATGCTTCATTAAATTAGGTAATAAGTTGTGCCACATACGCGCGCATGCGCGCATGCACACACACACACACACACACACACACACACACACACATAGAGGTCAGAGGTCAACTTTGGTTATCTCTTTGAGACAGGGTCTTTCACTGAATCTAAAGTTCAACTTTTGGCTACTCTGGCTGGCTAGCAAGCCTCTGGGATTACCTGTCTCTGTTCCCTCATTGCTGGGGCTGTAGGCATGCACCTCCACAGCTGGGTTTTCACACAGGTTCTGGGGACCCAGACTCAGGGTGTCACACTTGCCCTAGCACTCTACCCACTGAGTCATCTCCCCAGCCCCTAGGTCATGAACTTTAAGTCTGCTTTTGTTACTATTATTTCTTTCCAGCATTAAACTCCTGGTTGAATGTCAGAGACTTCCTCTCCCCCCAGGTTTCTATTAGACTGTCTTCTCGGTCAAAGAATGTCTTGCTGCATATGGCACACAATGACTCTACAAAGCTGATTGGCACTTCACAGCAGACATGGATTGTATGGCAGTTTGAGTTCCATGGTGGTTTTCCCAATGAAAGACATCTGGAAAGGGGTGTGGAAAGTGAGCACCTGGTTCAGATCAATACTGCTCATGTGCTCCTTCATTTGTACATTTATCTGTTTGTTGATTTAACCAATAAGTATTTATTGAGCATCTTGCTGCCATGAACCAGATTATGGGCTAGAGATAGAGCAAGACAAACCTTTCTCCTGACCTCTAAACATAGGCGTGTGTGCACGTGCGCGCGCACACACACACACACACACACACACGCATGCACACATCATTATTGTATAGAGTAACAGTCAAAAATAACACAGTATACCTGTGCTAATGAGGGGAGTGTCAGGGTGGATACTAAAGAAGCGTCTAGCAACACTTCTTCCTTCAGACCTACAGAGACTGAGGGAAGACTTCCCGGAGGAGATGGTGATGGGACAGGACTAAAGCATTCTGAGAAGAGAGAGGTGGAGGAGAAGGCATGGGAGGGAATGAAAGCAATCAGCTCACTCCCAGTATAGCTGGGTTGGGATAATGTTGTCAAGGGAAGTAAACTGGATTCAAATCATAAAGGGTGTGTAAGCTGAGAGAAGGGAAGCCATTGAAGAGTTCTTGAGAGGAAGAGGGTATTTGTAGGCAAGGCCCGGTCCTACTGCCGTCCAGGTTCTGCCAGAGTGATGATGTGCCACCACACCACTTGTCCCCTCATCTGTAACACTCACTCCACCCCACTTGAGAGACTACTCAGAACACAACTGCACTGAATAGCTCCTCCATTTTTCAGCATAAAATAGTATGTTTTTTTAGAAGCTAGGGGTCAGTGAATGAGCTTGCCATGCATGCCCAATGACTTGAGTTCAATCCTCAGAACTCACAGAGGAAGAAAAGAACTGATACCCAGATGCTGTCCTCTGACCTCAATACTCCCACTGTGCTTTGCACATTCCCTCCTACACACACACACACACACACACACACACACACACACACAAAGGGCAAAGAGCTTTAAAAAGTCTTTTTTTCTGGCAAGACGTTGGGCACCTTTCCCAGCTGACAGGTCTGGGAAAGGTGCTCAACATCATTAATTGTTAGAGAAATGCTAATCAAATCCATGGTGAGGCATCTCCTTACACTAGGTAGACTATTAGCAAAGAAAAAAAAAAGTAAGTACTAGTTAGGGTATGGGGGAAAGGTAAGGCTGTATGCTGTTGGTGGGAAAGCAAATTGGTAGAGCTATTATGGGAGAGAGTATGGAATGTCTCAAAAACTACAAATAGAATATGATCCAGGATCCCATTAGTGGGTATTTATCCAAAGGAAATCAATCAGGACATCATAGAGAGAGCTGCACTCAACAAAGAATTCACTGCAGCCCTATTCACAGTAACCAAGATATGGAAACAGCCTGTGTCCATCAATAGATGAGTGGATAAAAGAGAATGTGGAAAGTACTCACGATAGTGTATTATCCAGTCTTGACCATGCAGGGACTCCTGCCTTTGTGGCAACATGGGAGAATCTGGAGGGTGCTATAGCAGCTGAAAAAACACAGAAAGATAACTACTATTCTACTATTTAATGAAACTGTATACTCTGTGGACTTTAAGGAAGTTCAACTCAGAAACAGTGGGAAAAATGGAGAACTTGGATGAAAAAGTTCCATTAGAGCCGGGCGGTGGTGGCGCACGCCTTTAATCCCAGCACTCGGGAGGCAGAGCCAGGCGGATCTCTGTGAGTTCGAGGCCAGCCTGGGCTACCAAGTAAGTTCCAGGAAAGGTGCAAAGCTACACAGAGAAACCCTGTCTCGAAAAACCAAAAAAAAAAAAAAAAAAAAAAAAAAAGTTCCATTAGACAATGAATACATCCTGGTGTTCAGTGTTCAGTGTGGTAACTACTGTTAATGTACTAGCTACTTTATTCACTGCTGTGACAAAATACCTAAGGTATTTAAGGGAAGGATTAATTCTGGCTCACAGTTTTGAGAGGACACAGTCCATCTTGACATAGAAGGCATGTGGGTGGGAGTATGAGGTGGGTGGTTACACTGTGTCTACAAGTCAGAAAGAAGAAAGAGATGAATGCTGGTCCTCAGCTCACATTCCCCTACCCCCCTTCAGTCTAGAATCACCCACGTTGAGGATGGGTCTTCCCTCTTCAGTTTTAAACTTCTCTGGAAATGCCTTCACAGACATACCCAGAGGTGTGTCTCCTAGGGAGTTCCAAATCCAGTCAGGCTGACAATGAAGATCAATCAATCACAACTAGTAACAATATATTGTAGACTTGAAACTTACTATGGTAGACCTAGAGTGTTCTAAATATAAGCACACACACTATGGTAAGTAGATGAGGCGACAGATATGTTAATTGCCTTGATTCACAATTTATTCTTATATCAAAACATCACATTGTATACATTAAGCACATTCAACTTTTACTTGTCAGTTGTGGTTTAGGGGAAGCTTGTAGGAATAAACAAATGTGAACAGTTTCTTTGAAGACCTGGAAGGTGCTGGGTGTTCAATAAAACTCAGAATCTAAGCTCCTGGTAGAAATTCCTCTCTGTAGCAGCCACTAGAGAGTACAGTATGGTTGGACACTTTCTTCCCTTATAATATAACCATATGACATACATGTTCCCAACATACTCAAAGGCTGAGATGCCCTCTTGATTTACATCAGGAATGTCATTTGAGAAAACTATGCTAGGATCCTGCAAAGGCCATGCTTTATATTTTGAATGCACAGAAGATCTTTAAAGGAAACCTCAAACTTTCTCCAGTGTTAGCATCATCAAATTAAAATATAATGATATCATGCAAACAGTATCTTCACGGAAGTATCTTTAAAAAATATTAATGTTCCTGGAAACAAAACCAACACAGCCAAACCAGACTCTTTGGCTCCTGAGTCATCCTGAGTATTTTCCTACTGTCTCAAGACAAACAGCTATTACATGCTTTAATTATTGCTTACAATGTTTCCTGAAAAGACTAGTAAGAGCCACGAACTTTTCAGGCAACATGGATCCACAGCCCAATGTAATCACTCCCTAAGAGGTTGATCTTGTAACCTGGGAGAACGTTGGACAGAAACTCAAACACAGGCACATTTCTTCCAATCTTAACTTTCAAAGCCCTTGAAAGGACTTTTAGGAAAGGCTGGGAAAGAAAATACCAGGTCTGATTTTATCTATGATGAAATCAACCATATCAACTATGGCCCACATCTCTCTAAGACACAGTCCCTGAGGATTCTGTTCCACAGCTTAAAGCATTTTTGGGAAAATGATAACCTATGTGCCTATAGACCCCTTACCATGAGCCTAACCCTTCTCCAGAGTAAGGCATAGTTTAGGAATACTTTCAAAAACAAATGAAAATATATAAAGCTAAATGCACTCTTTAGTAAGTAGATTTCATTAACAGCACAGTTCTCTCTCTCATTTTCTGTCCATTTGTTCACCATTAAATAAGAATATAATTCTTTGGAAACAATCAGTATGAAAAAACAGACCCTTCTCTGTAGAATTTATATAACTGGGTAACACGTATCTCAAAGTGCATGCCTACTCACAAAGATCTGCGTTAGTGAACTATGGCCCTGTGGGTCTACAAGAAAAGTGCTAGAGAAACAGAGAAACAAAAAAATGTAGGAAAGAATTTTATTTATATTTATATTCTTTTGGAGTCTTTTGCTTGTGTGTATAGTGTACATTTATATGTATGAGCATGTTTGCCTGTGGGGTGCATGTCTGTGTGTATACATATTCAGATGTGTAGGGACACTTACATGTAAGTAAGTGCCTGTGGGCCTGCATGTATGGGCATGTGGAGACTGACATTTTAACATCAGGTGTCGTCCACAACCCCTTTCTACTTCACGTAAGGAGGCTCTGAACCCAGAGTTCACGGGTTCATCTACTTGCTTTGGGATTCCCTGTCTCTCCCTCATATGCATGAGGATTACAAGCAAGGTATCAAAGCCCACTCAGCTTTTATGTGGATTCTGGGGATCTGAATTCTGCTCCTCATGACTGTGTGGTAAGTGCCTGATTTACTCCCTGATCCATTCCTAGGGCCCCCCACTCCCTGCTTTTTTGATAAGCCACTACATGGCCCTGACTAGCCTGGTACTCTCTCTGGAGTCCAGGCTGGCCTCCCACTTGCACCAATCCTCCTGCCTCACCTTCCTAAGTGCTGGAAACTCAGCTGTGCACCAGTGCATCCCTCAGAAAGGAACCATGAAGTCCTGTTATCTGGAAATGATACAGGTTTCTGGAAGAGCTGCAGAGTTCCTAAGTATACCCTTAACTCAGTTCTCTTCTACTGCTAAGCTCCTACATAGCCACAGTACAGTTAGAGAGACCTAGAAATCAACATTGCGATGATGATATTAAGTAAACTATAAACGCCATTCAAATATCCTCATGTTTCCCACTGGTGTTCCCTTTTCTGACCCTGGATCCAATTCAAGACAGCATGTTGCATTTAGTCATTAGGAGTCTCTGAGTCTCCTTCAACCTAACATTTTCTCAGGCTTTGTTCATGATCTTAGTACTTTTGAGAAGTTCATCAGGATATTTAAATTTGTACTTGTGAAGACTGGCAAGCATACCCTAGAGTTGAGAGACCGTTCTCATTACGTTCTATCAGTGAACATATTCTAGCTGCGTCACTCACTACTGGTTGAGTTCACCTAGGTCACATGGTGGAGGTAATGTCTTCAAGCACTAATTTAAAGTGTGGCACCAAATGCAAACCCTGCAAGGGAAATTAAGCTTTACTTACTGATGGGAGACATATCAGATAATCTCCAGCATATGTTATGACCACCATAATAATGACTACTTCGGGAGAGATCACTTGAGTCCCCAGAAACACACCATTTTTCAATGTTTTGCCCTTTTTGGGCATTCATCAAAGGGACTTTGCCTGTGGCAATTTACTGCGGTGTCCTAAGGATGATCTTTTATTCCTCCATCTACCTATCCCTGTTAGACTTAAGAAATGTAATTCTGGGGCTAGAGAGATGGCTCAGTGGCTAAGAACACTGGTTGCTCTTCCAGGACCCAGGTTCGCATCCCAGCACCCACACAGTGGCTCACAACTGTCTATAACTCCAGTTCCAGAGGATCTTCTGGCCTCTGTGTGCATGAGGCACACACATGGTGCACAGACATGCAGACAAAATACCCCCACACACGAAGATATATAAATCTTTTTTTAAAAAAAAAAAGAAGGGAAATTCTTTGGAAAACTTGTTCCTTTTCTCCGTTTATTTATAGTGTTATGGTCCCCTGGATATTTATTTTCTTCTCATGTGAACTTCTGTGGCTAACTTTGCAGCCATGTGGTCCGCTGCGGGTTCTTTGAGAGGAGCTTCTGTACCTCTGTGAGGTTCGTGTCCGTTCTCTCCCTTCCTTCCTTCCCCGCCCTTCTTCTCTCTGAGCATCTTTCTTTCTGTTCCTACACAGCACTCTAGACTCAGCTTGTGTTTCCCTCTCTCTGCTGTAGACACAGCCATTTCTACCAGAGCTCTATTTGCCTTGCTGGAAAACGATATTTAAAATCAAGGTCTTGGTACGAGCTCATTGTTCTCAGGGGACACAGTCAGAAAATGCATGCACATATAAAATCATGAAAGCACATCTTACTTCTACCAGCATATGAAATAGCCCTAACTTTAAGCCAATAACCCAGGATTCACTTAAGCATTCAGATCGAAGAAGTGTTTAGAGAAATCTTTTCATTGAAGATTTCTCAAACACATTAAATGTCTTCACTTGTTCTCAAAACAGGTGAGGCTCGGGGCAGAAGAGAAAATACTGAAATGCTCTCTAACGGGGTTTGCTCAAATAAAACAGTCTCAGCACTAGCCAGTTGGTCATCCTGACTTCATTTTAAAGATGTGAGACTCTGAAGGGTTGAAGGAATTTGCCAGTCCCAGAGTCTTCCTCTCCCATACAGAGGGTTCCTAAGTTGGAGCATCAGAGATGCAGAAAGAGGCACCCATGTTTAGGGAGGTGTAGTGAGGGGTAAGGATGCAGCCCGGAGTCCAGACAGAGCACAGGCCCCCGTGCAGGGTGCAGCCAAGTTTCCCCTCCTCATTCGCTGCAACAGCCTTGGGGTCTGCCCTGGGACTTCGGGAGTTATACAGTAACAAATGCTGCTTCTGTTGCCTCGGGCAACTGGCTTCATCTGTTCCTGTTTTCTCACCTGTAAGCAGGATTACAGTGTCTTTCATGCCACAAAGCAATAATAAAAGGAAAGGAATGAAGAGATTAATGGAAACTCTTCTGCTTCCTAAGTGGTTTTGCTTTTGAGCTGTTATAAGGATAAAATTCAATGATGCTGTTAAAGATGAACCACACAAACACAAGCCGTTTATTTATTTATTTTTTCTTCCAAACATCTCCAGATGAATGCACTGGAGATATAAAATCTCAGGGAGTGTGAATTGAGTGTATCAATCTATAAGATATGGAAGAAAACATATTCAAAAGGTCCTATTTCAAAAGATTCACACTCAAGTGGCG